ATATCATGGAGCAGCAAACAACAGCAATCCGTGGCATTATCCACTACAGAAGCCGAATATATGGCAATGTTGCTGGCTGCGCGCCAAACAACCTGGACAAAATTTGGATTAAGACAACTACGCCAAGGGTATGACACAATGCTCTATACTGACAACAATGGGGCTCAAGAACTTGCAAGAAATCCGCGAATTCACGGACGTTCAAAACATATTGACGTACATTACCATTACGTTTGTGAAAAGTTTAACGAAGGAGAATTTGAACTTCTCCACGTGAAATCAGCTAACAACCTTGCGGATCTACTCACTAAATCTCTCGTAAAGTCTATACATCACCGACTTTCAGATCATATCAGATGTGCAAAGCGAGGGGAAGTGTTGTGATCAAACGCTGTTCAATCTGCGGACTTTGTGGTGAGCAGTTACTACATCTCACGTGATGGAACACGGGAGCGAAGTAAAAGAGGGGACAGCCCACTAACCAAATCTAAGCGATTACGGGCACATGTAGAACGGTAGCACATTCTCTGTAGATAGACATAACAAGCAATTATCATCAATAATTAAATCAACCTCCACACAATTGAGACCCATAGAAGTGCCAAACTTTCATACAACCCTCAATTGTATTGTCGCAATCGCATCTGTAACGAGCCACCACTGCATTCTAGAATACATTCTCTAACTGTGATAAGCTACACCGCCAGGTCTAGCAAACAAATTACAATAAACTGCGCGCGCAGGAAAAAGTCTCAAAAAACCTGCAGCCCAAGCCAGGCGAAGCCCAGACACCGGGATCACATGAAGAGCGCATATTCATCTTTATCTCCCTTCTTTGTAACAGTAGAGGCCGAGTTGATCCAATATACCATCTCCGTATCGGGTGCTGCGTACGCTCCAGAAACTCATCAGACGGCTCTTCCTCCATGATCAAGGGTTGGTAATGAGTAGGGCTCCGACCCTACATCTGATCTGATCGTGGTTAGCTCCATGATAATGGTGACTGGGAGATGTGCTTAGGGATGAAGACGATATAGAATGAGAAAGCGATTGGAAATCCTTTTCGAAGTGAGAACTTTGTTACTCAATCTCGGCTCTGCATACTCTACAGTGAGAGCTGGAGGTTCGTAGAGGACACCACTGACAAGTGTTGAGAATAGTCCCCCGAACCTAGGTAGAGAAGGTTAGTGATCTAGTTACAAGACGAGATTGAGCTAATAATGTTTACGGAAATTATTCAATATATTACGCTTTTTAGAAGTGATACATTATATAATGTACAGATATTTATTTATTTATAATATTTAACGTTGGGCCCGCGCACAGCACGTGAGCTTTTCACTCACCGATAAGCCCATTCTAAATTAACTATTTGTTGGCACAGGCTGAATCTGCTAGCAGAAAGATAATGGTTGGCCACTTTGTTCTTAATTCTCTATCTAAGCTATCTACAGAGAGTTATCATATGTAGGTGCCAAGGCCCTAGTGCGATCAATACCCGCGCGTGAAGGCCTGCACTTCGGGCCAATCAGAGTAATCCAGACACCAATGAAGAAAACGACCCCTGGGTGAGATGGGGAGATGCTAAGATGAGCTAAAGCTGGGAATGAATGGAAGGGAAAAGTTATAGATCGCGAAGGTGTCAAGGGCTCGGGCGCGAGGTGACCGAGGCTGAGGGGGATTTAGCGCTTCGGCGCGTCAAAAGAAGGTTCTCTGCACGGTTGGGCTTGACATGATTCAACACATGGCTGATGTCTAAGGTGGCATGAGAGCTCTTCCTTTACGTTGAATCATCTATTCTGTACTGTTCTCTGATATTGTGTCATAGCTAGATAGCTGCAAACGCAATTAATATCTGATGCAAAAATAAAAGAAGCCTGAGATGGTCCGGTCATTCAGGCGGGACGAGGTACATGTACTTAATGGCAGTTAACCTGATCCAGCCTAGCCCCACCCGTGCTTAAGCTCCAGGAGGAGTGCAACGGTAGTCACCTTACCTGGCACGTTGATGAACAAACCAAACCAACGGCGGGCGAACAAAAAGCCCACGAAAGCGAATTAAAATATCCTCCCGCCCTCGATAAAAGCAGATTTTGACTCGTCTACGATATCGTCCCTGCTAATCTAAACTTCCGAATCTACTAGCTAGAAGGGCATCTGAAATATATAAGTTACTCGACGATCCTACTTCCGTAACGACTTTCGGATGTTAGGCTAGGCTCCTTCACGGGAGTCATTCTCGACCAAAACTTTCTAACATCCTTTCACGACCTTCGGTTTGTCCTGCGGCATGAATCAGTGAAAGAGGAAGGAGGAGGCTAGGACGGTTGAGAGACGCTCTTAGGTATACACAGGTCTACTGCGCCCGGCTGGACGGCCTCTTCGTCATAGGAAAGCCCCGCACCCAATGGTTTTTGAGACTTTTCAACAGTTACACACCTGCAAATGGCCATCGTTTTACTGGCTAGAGAGAGGAGATAGTAATGGGATAATAGATGCTCATAGTAAGTACTCCAATGAAGACCTGTGGGGATACTACTGCTGAAAAGAAGTCGTAGAGGCATAGGAGGGAGTACACTACCCCAGACATAGATCCTCCCGGCCTGTAGACAGAAAGGTCCTACGTGTCCTTACATAGTCATAGACTTTATAGGACAATAAAAGCACACACAAACAAACTAGCAAGCTAGATAACCTCCTCAAACGCATAACTTAGTCCAAGAGGATTTCACCGAGTAGGTAAACATGCTTACGAATAGGACTAGATTGTTAAAAAAAATTTCCTCGGATGTCATGGTATGATAGTTAGGCTCAACAGTCAGAACAGAGAGGAGAGTCATGGATGAAAATGTAAATGCTCGATGTTTACTTTAGCTGCGCAGAATAGTCTTGGCATTTACCTAGTCAAGTGACTGTCCTTAGTTTGACAGATGAATTAGTTTATTAAGAACTTTCGGTATTTCCGAGTTTCCCTGGTATTTTGTCAAGCTGATTGATTTCAGGGCTTATGCCCGGGAAGGTGAGAGATGTGGGAAGATATCGTAGGTCAGTGACCGAATCGATATTTCGGTTATGCGGAGCTGGTAACCAGACGGTTGGATCACAAGACCAGAATCGCTGGCCCCAGCTCATGAGGGTCAGGCCCACATCACAGTCAAATTTTGTTACCAGCATGTGGCATTCAACATGTCTATTTCCGAGAAGTTACAGTGCCTCTCTCTCTACGTAGGAATCCTACATCCCGAATCGTTACGTTGTAGCAAGATCAGGCGAAGAAATCTTGATCGCCGTGTAGTCAAATGTTTACTCGGTGAGGCTTGGATCCGAACGAGAAGACGTTCATGTATACAGAGAGCTGATAATATTCGTTGGTAAGGGAGTACAGCCGGCAGTTGGATGCCGTTACCGGGAGGCCAAATTAGCATCATGTGGATCACCAGAGAGGCGGCACATTGTAGGTGGATGTACTTGTTTTCGCCTTGAAGGCAGATGACCGGATGCTACTCCAAGTATGTGTTGTTTGGATCACATCGATCGGGAAATGCTGCTATTTTGGCATTCTCCGAGCCAGCTAACGTGGTCCCTCCGAAGACAATAGCACGCGGGCCATTTGTTCTAAGCTGAGTTAAGGATATAACGTTCACACATTTAAGTGTCGATGTAATTTGTGAAGATTGTCAGGTAACGGGAGTGACCATCCCTTGTTCTAGTAGCGACCGCAGACTCAGGGCTAGTGATAGTGGAGAGAGGGCGGTGCGGGATCCATGATGAATACAGATGCTAATTATCCTGTTAGACGGGTAGGAGACGATCAGCTGAGAGCGAGGGGCATTGGGGCGCAGTTAGAGATCCTATAACTTTCTTTTTAGAGTTCCTCCCCTTCCCCTGCTTGCCTCTGGATGAGGATTATCAGGCATCAAGGCCTAAGTTTGTGATGACTGCTCTAGTGCCACCATCATCACTACCTTGACACTAGCTCTAGCAGAGAGGTCGCTTAGAGTCACGCGAATCGAATTTATGGCTGGTAAATTGGCTTGTAATTGTCACGAGGCCCAACAAACAAGAATGGCTCAGAAGTTGTTAATTTGAAGAGTCGCTGCAGCCAAGTTAGACCTCAAAATTGTGGGTGATCAACGAGAGAGAGTGTGCCGTGGCGCAATCGTGGTGATGATTCACTTCAAATTGCTGATTGTAACAGTTATAATGAGACGATGCCCAGCAGTACGCGCCCTATCGATTCATGGCAACAGCTGGAGCTTAAGTCCGCTAGGGCATGAGTGCCGCCTCAGCTAGTCGGCAGCTAGCGGGGTGCCGGACGACAGCAATGCCAGAGCTTCTTCGGAATTTGGGAACCTTAGCCTGAAACTGGCACGGCAGACTTGGAAGACTCGTGTCAAATTAAAATATCATCTCGTGGATTGTAAAGACTAAATTGATGATAGGCGCCACAACGACTCAATCGGGAGGCTTAACGTTGTCTAATCTACAAGCCACAGAGTGACCATCTGTAAGGATGCCCCTGGTACGGGAATCCGGCTAACTTCATATTCTACTGGGGTTAGGCGTCATGGCGGACGATACCAACGTCCTCAGCTCGATGTCGTTAATTCTACTCCAGTTACGGAACAAACAAGTACGGCTGATGCACCAGGAACAGGCATGTACTCGCTTGCCGTGCATCAGTATCATTTGTCTGTAGCATGAGCCCTTCGAAAACTCGACGACCACACGTCAACCGACACGACATCTAGCTGTGCATCCGCTGTAACCATAACGCAGCCAGATTGTTGTTGTCTCGTGGCTTGTAACTGCCACATGATGTGAAGAAAAGAAAACAGAGCTACCTACTTGTCATCAACAACAATCTTCGGTTTTCATCTCTCGGCTACAGTCCTAAGTAGCCCACTGCTGATCTATATTTAACCTTTGACTAGGATTATATGAGCTTCGTATATATCCAAGGCGTGGCTATAGGTAATTGGTTAATTTAAAAGTGACGGATGATTGACAGGCTCAATGCGTCCGAGAGAAGAAAAGAAGAGCTTACCAGAAAAAGCCCTCTGTGGGGTACGCGAGATTTATCACATTCTCCTTACGAACATCGAATGACAGATTGTGCCTCCCGCAGGCCTCTAGGGAGGCTCTCTAAAGATTCCAGCATCACCTTTCGTACAGATCGAAACTTTGCCCGATGTCGTCAACAAGCACTCTCTGAAATTACCGCCACGCATTTTGGCCAGGAGAAGAATGATGAGCTAGACAGGCTGATTACGCAAATACCCAAGGCCTACACACCCAAAATTACACCTGAATTACGATGCTGCTGCGGTAAAGTTGAATGCGCCTTTACCAAAAAGAATTACATTGCCCTAGAACAGCTAGAATCCGAAGTTCGCACTGCTGCTCAAATCGGCCAAGGTACGTCTGGATTTGAAAATTCTCCAACCCTTCTTGACAGTATCACAATTTGGAGGTCAAATGCCCATTAACTTTGAAAATCTCAAATCAAAAACTGCTCAAAGGCGTTCCAGTGCAATCAATATTCAATTTTGTTAAAATTCACGTATCCAAGTGGAAATTGCATGTGTAGAACTTGGCGCAACTTTGTTAACTTTTACCCATATAGCCCTCCTGGCACGACATAAGCAATTCATGCACAATGCTGAGCACGATTTACTGGTGATGGATATGAAACAAGAAAAACTGGAAGATGATAAGAAGGAGCTTGAAAAACAGAACATCCAAAAACAAGAAGAGAATCGGCAATTATACAACCAATTAGAAGAGCTCAATTGTTCGGTTGCTCATTCCGAATCTTACATTAAGGCGCTTGAAGAGACACTAGACTCTACAAGGTACGAATTTAGGCGCTTGCAATCTCTAGCTTCTAGGACACAAGAGCTAGAGAACCAGCTGGCAACGCTCGAACAAGAGCAAGAAGTTCTTCAGAACACCATATGGACTACTCAAGAACTAGAACAAAATGCTGTCAAGCGGTGGAAGACTGCTGAACAGAGATTGTTGAACCTTCAGGAACAATTGGAATATATCGGCAGCGAAGCTAATGAAGAGAAGAAAAGACACGCGGAAGTACTTGCTCGCATGAAAAAGCACGAAGTTATAGAACGAAAATTGAGTATAGCAGCAAAACACTTGAAAGGAGTTGGAGCAGTTTCATCAATGCTTAAAAGTAACAATCAGCATCTTGTATCGCACTTCGCCAAAGATGTTTTGCAGGACAATGTCGACCTTCAATTAGGAATGGCTGAGCTACGTCAAATGCTATTGGTCTCGAATGACGAGGTGCAAATTTTGCGGGAAAAATTAATGCAGCATCAGATACCCGACCAATTTGAATCGCCCGCTCGCGCGTCAACCCTGAGGTCAGAACTAACTCGGGACAACAATGCGAAAACACCAAATTCGACGCAATACCTACATATTCACCATCATTATCACGGCTCATTCAAAAGGGATAATCTTCGTAGGCACAAGAGAAAGCGAAGCCCAAATAGTAACAGTTATAATAATCCCTTGGGGCCACTTCAACCCCAAAATCGCCGACATTATGACAATTGTCCAGTGCCCTCAAAGTCGTCAGTAGCCTCAAATCCAATAACTCCTCTCAAAAAGCGCTGGTCGTCGCAAATGTTTCAGTCTGCGGAGCTCTCGCCGTCTTCCGTCACTAGTTCATTCCACTCTTCACTTCGGAATAGTTTAACTTTTGACAGAGGTACGGATTTCAATCTATCGAGTCCTGCTTCTCCAGGATCCAGCGTCGATCATTACTCGCCATTGTTTGATATACAAAAGAAAGATAATGGTAGCGTCAGGCCTAGTAACAGGATAGCTTACGGAAACCGTAATAGCGAAGTCAATGCCTTGGAGGCTCAATCGATCCAGTCTCGCTTAGATAAATCTACAGTCCAAATTTGTGGCACACAGGAACCTGATCCCGAAGATATAAATTGTCGAAATACATACAGATCAGAACTGATGAGCAAAGCGTCCCGAAAGTCAATCACCTCCGGTTCGGGTATAGATATTCACACATTGGAAACTCAATCATCTCAGATTCATACTTTTTATGGAAACGCTCTTTTACATCCCCATCTAGGATTCCCCAGTATAGCCAGCTCCAGGGGGACTATTACCAGCTTTTCTTTCGTAACAGCTTGTCCTACACTAACTCGACAAAGTCATCAAAGCACGTCTACTTTTCTAAGTGCTGTGCTCACGAAGCATGTAAAGTTTGACAGTACTGACCGCCACAGCTTCAGTAGTGCTGGCTCTCTCGACTCCAAGGGTAAATTCAGCGACTGGGTTCGTGGCCGCTTGAAATTCAATCAGTCTAGTAACTCTGATACTCAGTCACTGGACTGCACAGATGCACTCATGGCAGGGATAGGACCGGGTAGAGCGTCGCACACATCTCTTGTCATCGCAACTAGGCTGCCTGGCGTTAACCAAAAAGGTCCTGTACCAGGCTTCGTAAGGAGGATTAAAGCTCGTCCAAGGCAAGCCTCGACGGTAGAAGGAAGCTATTATACGATTTACAAAAATTTGATCGAAGACGCCGAAACACTGCCACTCTAGAACCAATCACTATCCCCAAGTTTCTCTTACATCACCCCTCCCACTTCTATTTCCACTTAGATACAGCGGAACTCGCAACCAAGAAAGTGCTTCTCAGTGCGATTTTCCTAGTACCTCCGAACCACGCTCTCGTGGTTCTTTGAAGCAGATCATACAACTGTTTCAACCTTGAAAGCGACTAACCTGCTCATTCACATAGCCACAGAGCCCATAATTCCCTACAATATCATGTCGAAATTTTATGCAATGGACACCATAATGAATTTATATTTAGCCACTCAAATTTTTTAATAATTTTAATAATTTTCAGGGCTTAGAGTATTTGACAAATTTAGGAGTATCCCTGACCCGGGCCGGCTTGGGTTTCAATGCAGGAGACTAATAGGTATGGCTATGGGTAAGAATACAGTCAAGGGTACACAGGCAACATGAAATGTAGAGCTCTGTATGTAGAAAATCCCAATCAAATATTCCAAGATATTGGATCCAAGTTCATGGTTGTCGATGAGTCTTTTGATAAACGTGGACAGTTCTCCCAGATGGTACCCAATAAAGTAAGGCTGTAGACTGAAAGCAGGTACGTTATTATCGACAAGAATGTCACTATCCTCCATAAACTACATTCTGGCGGCGGTCCTATGCCCATCTCAAATGTAGGGCGATGATGAACACGAGGCTACGGGTACAGCTCAGGGATGGGATTCAGCTTAAGGCTATTAGTGGAGACTGCTTCTACGCACAGTCATAATACACATGAGAGGGTTCCAGGGCTGAGCTTGGTCAGTGGGGTATGGTTAGCTCCGGGTTCTGCGATCTAGTGTTTCAGGAAGATTTGCAATGTCAAAGCTCAGGGCCTACGACGAGGGGGCAGGCGAGCGTTCTGGCTGCACGAGCCGATCCACCATGTTTGCGACCTGCTGGGTAGGGAAGAGAAGGAGAGTACGGATCCTCGTAGAAGGGCTTCGCACGAACGTAGCGCCGAGCCTTTAGATTTCCCGGGATCCCTCACAGCTCCCGTTGTGGCTCTCGAGAATGGTTCGGCGGAGGTAGCGAGCCGGGCGCGGATTCAGGAGCAAGTCGACAGATGTCGGGGTTCAAGAGGTTGTGATGGTAGTAATTGGCCCAAAGCCTTATTACGGAGATTTCGCGAGCGAATTAACGAGGCGAGACGTGGTGCATCTGAGCGCCGGGTCGGTCCCGGGCCTTAGCGCACTCTACTACCCGCCAAACGATACACCAAGTAGACTAGAAGCAGACCATTCGGGGCGTGCATCGAGCATGTCTGCTATGGGCGACGAAGAAATGAATCCAAGGATCGATGCCGTGCCTGCGCCGTCGACTAGACCTCTGGATGGACGGGAATGGGAGAAATTGTGAGAGGTGGATTCGTCTCGAGAGGATTGCAGGCAGCGTTGCCGCGACCAGCTTAATTCAATGTTTGGGGGCTATGCATGGTCGGGTATCGGATAGTCTACATAGCTTGTTGGTGGGACCTGGCCTCTGGTCGCGTGCCGAGCACCAGTGCCCTATGGGTCTTGGGCGTTGAACACTCAAATCACGTTGTGGGCCAGCGTGGCTTTGGTGTGTTGTTCGTGAGGGTTTTGACTCATGGGCGTCCGGGGATTTGGAAGGTTTTGGCCAAGACTTCGTGGCTTTAATTGCCGCTGTGCTGCGAGTTTGCCGGCAAGAGTTACAGCGAGAAAGTCCCTTGCGTTGCAGGGACAGCGACCGCTGTGTGAATGGTCGGTCACGAGATGACGGAGAGAGATGAATTCGACCGGCGCAAAAGAACTGCGCCCTACGTCACATTCTTGCCGCTCCGTCGAGGTTCCCACGACGAATTGGTCGCACACCATCAACGCGACGGCGACCCTCAGACCGCCGTGAGCGTTTACTGGTTGGTGGTTTGAAACGACTAGTTCTCTGCTACCTCGTGGCCGATCAGCCTTGCTACGGCGCGCACGGACTAGCTTAGTCAGGGCCACCGGCTTGGCCTTGAATCCCCGTCAGGCGCACATGGCCGCCAGGGCGAAGTCCACTGGCACTACACCCTCAGATCATCGAGCGACACGGGGAAGGCATTCGTCGCTCGCAGCAGAGCCACTCCACACTTCGGAATGCCTGCCTTATAGGCAAAGTCAGCCTGAATAGCGCCAGCTACCAGCACTGTCCCTGTCAATCACTTTCTTATCGCTGCGTTGGCTCACTATCCACACGGAATCCCTTGACACCTTCACACGAGCGCCTCCCTCGTCTTGCAGTCAGATGCCTCTCCTACAGGCTCGCTCCTTTACTTGGCAACAGAGCGAGCGTCGGCAACTGGTCAAATCGCGCAGATTCGTTGCTGATTTGACAAATCCCTCGACTAGCTAGTCATCATGAATCAGAGTGTGAATTAGGTCTGTCAATTGAATATAATTCTCAGCCTGACAAAGGTCGTTCCATGAGCTACTTGCTCATGCCGCTGGCATCCTCTCAGATTCTGCATCATTTAACGCGTATTTCGCCATAGAGCTTTGAAACGTGACCAGAACTGTTTTAGTATTTATCGAGCTACTTGAGTCTGATTATCTCAACTTTGTAATTAGGTCATCGATTCTGTACTCCGCCTCTGATATTATGTCGTGCCTACATGGCTGCACACTCCATTTAAGGCTGATGCAAGGTTTAAAGAGTCTGACCATCTAGCACATTCAGCATCTCTCTGACCTAGGCCACACCCTGTGCGATGCTCACATCATTCTTTCTTGCAAAATTGGGATCGCTGGTTAAATTCCCATGACGGACGGCCGTTCAGCTCAGTACTTCTACGCACAAGTTAATCTCCTGTCGTGTCATGGCTAGATAGATGCATATGCAGTTAAAATCTGATGCAAAATAATTAGCTTTTACCTCTATATGTGATCAGTGCCTATTTTTTAAAACAGATTTTAATTGCGTATGCATCTATCTAGCCATGACACAATATCGGAGAAAAAGTACTGAAAAGATGACTCCATTTTAATTAGAGCACTCATGCCTTGCATTTCAATTGCAAGTGCCACTGCGAAGGTATAGCGGCTTCTTCTTCACCTAAAGTCAACTCTCATCCTTGAGTACTCGCCCAGGGAAACCTTCCAAAAACCCGGAGTTATTCAGCCTTAGCTCCATCCACTGAATTTTCTCTACGCGAAATGTGGTCTGAGGTATCTCCTCAAATGGAGTAGGTTCCCAGGCTACTCAAACCAAACCAGAGAACACCACCAGGAAGTAGAACACGGCACCTTACATCGTCGGCTTGTTTTTATGGTGTCAGCTGCACTCTCGCATTCGAAGTTTCGCGCGCACAAAGCTCAATTCATGAAACTCCTTGCCATAATTCAAAATTTCACGCTATTTGAAATTTTATCCATCCTCTGCACCATCTTGTGAACTTGTCCTAACCCCTCTCACGTCCATCCCAAACTACCTCCCAGATCTGTGCGCCACGCTTTGCTTTCTCCCGAGGATATAGATATTGGCGAGGGCGTGTATTTGGTGACCGGCTGAGGCCAGAGAAAGTCGACGAGAGGTGTGGTCATTGAAACGAGGATGTATTTGGTCGTAACTGTAGACTTTATGAGACTTTGGTGGGAGTCGATCACGTTGGGAATGAAAAAATGAAATGGTGGAGTATTTTGAATCATTGCCTCGCGGGCCAACTTCTTTGACATTGCGAAATTTGACTGAACTTGGCTCTGGGTGAAAATTTCACTCCTAGGTTTGTAGAGGGCACCGCGTACAGGTGTTCCGTCTTTCCCTCCTGTTGGCCTATTCGTATATTGCATTGTGTTGCGACTTTGCACGGACCACATGTAGATGAATAATTATTCGTGACTGGCACAAGCGTAACACTCATGGAGTATGATATGGAGAAAGCGAGTCCTTCTCTGGTGGCCATATTCAACGAAAACTCAGTTTGAAATTTGGACTATTCATGTAGTGGGTGCTTTCGCTGATACTAATCGAGACTTTTGTACAAGGAAATTTCACCCTTCCCTCAACCGTTAATATCCACCAAAGGGTAAACAGGAAAAACCCTTGGCTACCCTAACATGCCTTTTTCATCTTATATATAGCCACGGCGCGATATGGGGCCTCATAGTCCTCCAAAGTTGAAATCACTCGAAAAACATGCCTCCCCGTATGTCCATTTGTGACCTCCTCACTCGTTCGTCCAACGTCCCATATGCCTCTCCTCCTTCAAGATGTGAAGACCCATTAGACCAAAGATATTTCATGGACTAAGACCCTAGCTTTGTAGATTATGATTTAGTTTCCTCCTCGCGGGTATATACATCTCAAGGATGAGGGTTTGACAGTGTTCCACGGGGTGCCTTGTATAGCCTAGTGAAGATCTAGGTCGTGAATGAAGATAATAAATGGGTCAAAGGGATGACAGGTCTTCTTTAGGAAGAGATGAATGGGCAACTAGTTGCAGTAGATGTTACACGTGGGTCTTGCTGATGAATAACTGGGCAATGGATATGTGGTCTTCCCAAAGAAGAGATGGGTGGACAAATGTATTGTAAAGGGTAAATAAAGAAGACGTTGCGTGAGGAGTAAATCTCTCTCACGCCGAACTATTATATACAAGAGTAGAAGCATTTGCCAGCCGGAATTAATCGTAATCAATTCTTGCCAATATCTTCGCATTAATGGCTGTGTTCTTGTCCTTCACCTCATGACTCTCTTGTATATCTTTACATAACTTTTTACATGGCTAATTGCATGGGAAAAGCTATTCTTAAATTGATGGTTTTAATTGACTACCCCTTCATCTTATCACGAATTGATATTAGTATTAAAATTCTAATTACGGAACCGTGAAAATACAGCATCGTAAATTTGTAGTGGGAAACGGCCAATTTCTGATGAGGCAAATGCCCGATTGCAATTGGAGTAACGCCATCATCGAGAGTTGACGCGAGTTTATTTGTGGTATGAGTAAATTGAAGGAATCGCATGAGAAAGATAGGTACGAAATTGATGAGAAGTCGTTGATTTTAGCTATGCTTGTTGTTGCTTTCGACTTCGATTCGGATGCTATTCTTCTAGGCTATCCTAGATATGCAGAGCATACTGAGCGATTACACCAGCACTACTGGAAGGTGAAGAAGTCGTCTTTGCCGGCTGAGACTACATGTAGATGTTTGTACGTATTTCATCCGTCTGAGGCTACAGATATTTTGAGATTTTTACCCACGTACGCTGTTTCTATTGCTACCTTTTTTATTCTTTCTGGGCAGAAGGTTCCGTAAAAGTGAGGCTGGATTCTCCAAATAAAAATAGAGATAAATGACCATTTATTATAGTCATTAGCTCAGAGCGTTAAGATTAGAAGTATGGTTATTGAGACGTACATGTACGTTCAATCATAGTAGGCTGGAACTAAACTGTGGATTTTTAGATGCTATACACATCATGCCTAAGGTAGACCTTATGGTTTATGCAAATAGATACACTCATACTAATATACGTGTTCTAGCTTTTTGTATACAGTTGGAGATTTTATTTCTCCCGACCTTGAAGTGTAACATAGATAGAAGCTAATTCGAGAGCCTATCAAATCTTATACTGATTTAGTTAACCTATTTACATATCATATTATTCTTTGGTCACTTATCTTCCTCTCTATTTACTAATGCTATAGCCCCAATGCAATACAATCATGTATTATTTAAACAAAGATTTTTTTTTGTAAAAAAGGAGGATAGGAGCACTGTACAAAATGTGACCCGGGTCAGAGAGGTATTCAATGTCCTACTTAGTAAGGCTGAAGTTGTACAATAAAAACCAATCAAAACCTATCACAGTAGCCCCGAGAAATGCTGATAAATCTACAGATATTTTGAGATACAGGTTCAGCCCAAAATACTCATCATCATGTGATGTGGCACAGCACAAGCCAAGACTAGCCAACTTCGCCACTAAAATTGATCGATTACGCTTTGAGGATGGAAGAGACACATAAACTATATTATCTGCCGCTGTAATAAGGATCAATCTAAACATGAACAATCCACCGACCTATAAACACTTCCTTATTTCCGAACCCTTTGATTTTGTCCGGCATGTGCAGATCAATCGACCAGGCAAACTCAATAGCTTTCATCAACCCATGTGGATTGAGCTACGCCAGATCTTTGAGCAGTTATCACTGGATCCCAATGTGCGCACTATTCTTCTAAGCGGTACGGGTGAAAGGGCTTTTACGACAGGTCTTGATGTACAAGCGGCAGCTCAAAGCAGTGTCTTAGGGCAGAGCGAGACAATAGACGGAGCGCGCCGAGCGCTGTTTATTCGTCGGCATATTGCTGAATTTCAGGACTGTATTTCCACGTTGGAAAAGTGCGAGAAACGTAGGTTCCACTGCCTCAATCTTCGAAGGTCTATGGTCACCCCCTGAGGAAATAGAAATTACCCCTTCATACAAACCCGCGCTGATTGGGCCTCTCATCTCCCTCTCTAGCTGTCATTTGCGTTATGCACGGTTTCACGTACGGCCTAGGAATGGATATCTGTACCTGTGCAGACATTCGTATCTGCAGCGCTGATGTTAAATTCGCCGTTAAAGAAGTCGATATTGGTTTAGCCGCAGACATTGGGACCCTGACGCGGTTACCGAAGGTAGTGGGCAACTTTGGGTGGGTAAAAGACGTATCACTAACAGCTCGAACATTTGGCGCAGACGAAGCCTACCGAGTTGGCTTTGTGAGTCATGTACGGGAGACCAAGGCACAGTGTATCGAGATGGCTTTAGAGCTCGCTGTTCTATTAGCTTCTAAAAGTCCTGTCGCTGTACAAGGGACTAAAGAGCTACTAAACCATGCAAGAGACCATAGTGTTGCGGATAGTCTACGCTATACAGGACTATGGAACTCGGCTGCACTACAAACATCAGACGTAGAAAGGGCGCTATTGTCGGGCATGAATAAGACGAGACCTACATTCGAAAAATTATGAAGGTGTTGCTCTATTTCGGTCTATTTCTTTTACCTCTAGATTTGAAGTATGTTGAGTTTTACCTCTGAACAGAAACAGCAGATGCATATGTTTCTCATACCTGTCTTCATCTCTAATCTTGCTCTAGCTACCGAGAATACCTCCTTGTTTATATATTATATATTTTTAGTCATGTACTACATATTTAGCTTTCAAGCTACGACACATAACCAGTCCCTTATGTGCATGTTGTATTACTTTATAGACTTCTGATATTTATATTCTAGCTTTCATTTGCTAGTAGCACCGAGATAAATTTGATTACACTCAACATTTGCATCTTGTCCGCAAGCACCAACCAGAGAGAAATATCAAAATTTTTATAATTCCAAGATCTCTTTGTCATACATGTGTGCGGGCACCGAGAAGGATGTGGTAGAGTCATGTCGGTTTTGAACCAGCAGTAAGCTGTCTTAACTGTCAAAACTCTGCCAAAGATGCTGACTTGGGTAATTTGCCATTTCACCATCCAATCATATATGCGTTTGTCGTACCACTTCCATTATCGCATACTAAGTCATGGCGCGTACGTAATTCTTAATTATGAAAAACTCCCGCCAAAACTCGAAACCTCACAACTGTCGATATTATACCTATCCTTTCCATCATCTTGTCGGATTGTCTAGATTTATCTCATGTATGTCCCAAAGAACTGCCTCCTACGGGGGGACTATTCTCAACACCTGTCAGTGGTGTCCCCTACGAACCTCCAGCTCTCACTGTAGAGTCTGCAGAGCCGAGATTGAGTAACAAAGTTCTCACTCCGACGAGGATTCCCAATCGCCTTCGCCGTCTGTATCGTCTTCATCTCTCAACACATTCCCCTATCACCATTATCATGAAGCTAACCACGATCAGATCAGATGGTAGGGTCTAAGACCTACTCGTCACCAACCCTTGATTATGGAGTAGATGTCATCCGATGAGTTTCCGGAGCGTACGCAGCACCCGATACGGAGAAGGCGGAATGGATCAAGTCGACCTCGATTGTTATAATGAAGGGAGATGTAGATGAATATGCGCACCTCATGTGGTCCCAGTGTCTAGGCCTCGCCTAGCTGGGGCTGCAGCTTTTTTGAGACTTTTTCCTGAGCGCGCAGTTTCCATTGCTTCCATTTTTAATTTTTTGGGTAGAAGGTACCGTGGAAAAGGTGGCCGAATTCCACGGGTAAATACTGAGACGAATGGCTGTTTATCAAGGGGAATATATCAATGATCCTTCAAGTAACAAAAGAGGATAGGAGCACTATACAAGGTGTAGCCTGGGTCAGAGAGAAACCTAATGTGCTAGATAGTCATAGACTCAAGTAGCACAATAAAACACACACACACACACACAGCGCCATACTCGAAGAAGCTTCCGACCTTGTCGCCCTTCGGATCGCGAATGGACCCGCGACCCTACGCAAACTCGACGCTACTCATACGGTCGATACTGAGTGTATCTCAACCAAGATCCACTTTAGAACCCGAGTGGAGCCTATCCAGGTGCGACCGCACGGGACATGCCATTCTGGTGCCACGTATAGAAGCTAGCATGGCCTTTTTGCCCGAGATTCTACCCCTCATGCGGGCTTCCGCCTCGTCGAGGATTCTTGTCAGATTAGAACGTGGGCGTTGGAACTGAAGCGAGATTGAAGGGCGAGAAGAGATCGGATGGATTCCGACAGATGACTGAAGGTCTTCTGAACAAAATCTGGAGGAGCTTAAGGTTTAAAACTGGGTAATATAAATATCTATAGAAATTAAAGGTTCGAGTGTGTGATAATGGTAAATAAATGTAAGGATTCTCCTTCCATCCTAACTTTATCGACATTGAACTTGTTGTCGATATTGTATATGTATGTCTGTTATCACAGATATTGGAAATAATTCGTGAGATTGCTTAATGAGAGGCTAGTATTGATTCCGATATGTAAGGATTCTTGAGAAATCCCTCAGGCAGGATTTATGGGTTCCTTATTTAATCCCACTAGTCTTTATTGCTTAGCGAGGGCACCTATGTAGTTTCCATTTCCGAGTCTGATATCTTCACGCTTTGTTTTCTGTCTTTAGGAATAGTTACATTATTCTAATCACATCTCACTCTCGTCCTCTGCCAAACATAGTGACCTACTGTCACCTCCGGCCCCTCTATCTAGAACGACTCCCCGCTTTCCCTTTTACCACTTCTCTAGAAAGCCCTCCGCGTTCCCACGAGGAGTCCTTCCTCAGTACATCCTACGCTACGCCCTCTCCTACGCCTCGAGTCCTGCGCCTAGTGAACCTGCGCCTGACACGATATAATATTGTAGAAGACTTGTCCCAACTACCAGAGGGCTACAACGTCTTTATCTATCTACAGGTAAATTCCCCATTTTCCAACCGCGCTAGCCATACAGGACGTAGCATGTAAAGCCTGATTCGTATCATCATTTTGGGGCTGAAGTTTACCGTGCATATGCTACTCGAGTTGCATGTCTGACTACTATGCAACACGCTTAGGTATCAATCTAACAACCCACACTGTTACGGTTTGACCGCTATTTGAGCTTAGGTGAATACCTAAGCGGATTGTTGGGGATATCTACAACAAGGCGGCACTACTAGTCAGGAGGTCGAAGCTTTACTACAACTAAGTGTTGCAAATCTAGACTCAGCATGTATGAGGGCTTAGATTTCTAGGTATGATCATCAAGATCAATTGAGTTGATTCGATTGAATATGATTAAGCTCAGTTGGACGAAATAAGATTCAGTGGCATCTGGAATGCAGTGGCTAGGAAATGCTACCTTGCTATAATTGAGTGGCTGGTTGTTGCTAGATCACTGGGAGTTCAGGATCTGTATTTAAGGACAGACTCATCCGTAAATGTAAAAATAAGTTAACGGAGTATTATATATTATTAATTCATATTAAGAAGAGAGTCCGATATCACATACAACTATCAATAGATTCTTGTCCGAAATTGTACACTTGTTCTTCGAGATATTTCCTCCTAGAAATCCTTGACAATTTCTAACACTAAGTAACACCTGGCAATGCGTGGCTGGGTAGCAAGTATTGTGCCTAAGGATAAGTCATCAGTCTGGAGATTGACGAAGGGGACCAATTCTTATAAATACCTGTTAGTCGTAGCTAGAGTTCTCTTTTCTCCTCATATAGTTTAATAAACTGATTTATTCACAACCAACTCGCTTTCTGTCACACACACCAAAACCGAAACTACTCACAACCCTGATGATGACCTCATGAATAATTGTAACAGTAGCCTGCAACATAGCACAATTAGGCTAGACATCGTTGACCAGGACCTAATCCGAACAAAACTTTAATTTATAATTTTACCCTTCTCCTGATGTTGCTATGACAACAGAACAGTTCTTGGCACTTGTAATTATGTTGGTACTAGTTTAGGGCCGATGTTATGATGAGCTAGTGGGAGGAAAGCAAGTATATGTATGATGGCTTGGTCTGTAGCTACAAAGTTCTTCACGCTTAGTCTTCTGTCACAACCACGACCTTCGGATCACCTCTGGTCATCTCTAGTTACCTTTAGCACCTTTTGTCACCACTAGTATCTGCTCGTACCTTAGACTATTTAGACATTTTTATTACCCAATTTTAAACCTTTAGTTCTCCAAATTATCTCCAGTAGACCTTTAGTCATCCTTCGCGATCCATACGACCTCTTCTCGCCCTACAATTCCGCCTCAGTTAAAACGCCCGCGCTCCAATCTGACAATAAAGGTAATAGAGGTGACCAGAGATGATCTGAAGGTGATGGTTGTAACACAAAACTAAGCGTGAAGAACTTTGTAGCTACAGACCAAGCCATCATACATATACTTGCCTTTCTTCCACTAGCTCATCATAACATAGGCCCTTAACTAGTACCAAAATAATTACAAGTGTTAAGAACTGTTATGTTTTCATAGCAACATAGAAAGAATGGTAAGATTATGAAGTGAAGTAGGCATGGAAAGAGGAATCCTTTCAATTCTGGTGTTGCTACCATTCACAAGCCTCGTCAACAAACCAAATAATTAAAACACTGTTTGGGCTTCCACACCACCCTTGGTTGCTCCCTGTAATAGCTGTTAATGTTGTGCTGGTGATGCCTAGGATTACGATGCACAAGGGTAATGATCACTGTTGGTGAAGTAAGAACTTTCCAGGCGGCTCCATGATGACTAGAGGAACAATAGAGCACTGTATAGAAAGTGTTTCTAGATTGTACTGCCAGATGGAGGAGACTAGAATATTCCGTGATACTATTTTGGGTAAATGAGGCGAGAGTCAAGCCACCTCAGATGTGTATATAATTAGCGCTTTCTACCCCCTAAATCCTCATAGTTCTGAATATCAAATATATCAGCAGTTCATATTGATTCATTGACAACCATCCGTAAACCTTCTGCCAATTAACCTCCGTAAGCTCTTACCTTTACATCAGTAAAGCCTAAGGATTCCTGTAGCCTACGCTGGCTAGCGCAGGCAATGAAAGCAAGGGAATCTCCGGGAAGGATCTCGGAATACAAGGAGCTTAGAATATTCTCAATGAACCTTCTGGAAGCACACTGAAGGTTCATGAGGTCAACAGGTGTATCAAGAATCTTCTAGAGTGATGTTGAGGAGTCCATGTCATTCTAGTCATAGGGGGAGCCTTATAGAAGAGGAGTATCTCAGTGTATATACATTAGTAGTCTAGCTACATGAATTCTCTCTTCAGAGAATTATAATTAAAATAATGTACCTACGAGATCGCCCATGCATTTTGTAATGAAACTGTGACACCAAGTGTAACTTAGTTGCTTGATACAAGATAACATGTAACACTCTCCCTAATACGCCCCCAAACTCCGCTTAGGTCTCCACCTTATTACGACCGACCTCAGGTTGACACTAGAAGACTCCTTCGAAATATAAAATAGTAACTGCTTTGTATTTGGACCTAAAGCTACGCACAATAACTAAAAGAA